GGAATAAATAACTGAGAAATATCTATTGTAGAACAGAAACTCAAAGCATTTTAATAAATTGAATTGATGTGAATTTATAGAACAATTTCAACAATGTTCATCTGGTGTTAAATTTCCTTAGCTGGTGCACTCTTTATTTTAAAATACCATATATGTATATACATATAGATGCAAATCGTTTTAGGTGCAAACCATCCACTAAAAATAGCACTTAACATACCACATACCACTTCACATACCTAAAAGTTCTAATTGTAATTTGCATAGACGAAAAACAGTTTCATTCTGTGGCAAGCACAAGGCCAACAAAGAGTTTAAGCTCATTATGCACATGCAGTGAAATAAAATGTAAGCACAGACAAACCGTATCGAAATACAAGATTTTCGCCATGTAGTCAAACAAAGTACAAGTATTCCGACATTGTTAAGTAACTCCAAGCACAATTGAAGTCGAGTTCTAAGCAACTCCAACCCGGAGATAAGCTATTTTCCAGGCGAAAGGAAATGCGCTATAAAAGTGTCATTAAAATAAAACGTGCTCAAAGTGCTGACGTGTGGCCTCAGTTGGAATATGAGATGCTAACTGAAAGCAAGGATGATCTAGGAGCCAAACTACGCGACAAAGTCTATGCACTCGAAACTTAACAACAAAACATACAAAAATAAATGATGTAAGGGAAGTACATGACTGTACAATTTCCTATGATAGATACAAATAGCAGAAATATTTATGAATGAAGAAACAATTCAGAAAAAGTTATAAATAAATTTGCTAAATCATAAATAAATATTGGGTTAAAGGTTCCGGCAAAGGGTTTGAGTTGACTCAACCTTTTTATCGATTTTCAGTTTCGTAAATTTACCATATGGATTAATAATCGCCTCGACTCGTAAATGGTTCTTGAATTTGGAATTTGATATTGAATTTCAATCGGTAAAGTTGTGCTTCCAATTTGACAACCGGCTTCAAATTTGTAGATGCACTCAAAGTTGTTTAGCACAGTTAATATACCCAACAATATCTCAAGCTTGTAAACGGCGCGACAACAATGGGCAAGTGGTTTGCAAGGACATCAACGAGCTGAGCAAACAGAGGCGAGGATAACAGCAAACAGCAACAATAGCTAGAAGACAATTTGGCAAAAAGTGAGCGCTCAAACGAAGCATTTGATGCGTGTGGCAAACACAAAAATCACGTAGCAGACATTTGGGTGCAAGTTGCGTATTCGCCACATGGGACGCTTACCGTTTATTAGCTAGGGAGAAAATAATACAAAAGATTAAATACCCTTATAAAACGGAGTTAATCTGCTGGCATTTAAATGTTAGTCTGGAGTTCGAAATATTATTTTGTTCATGTATGTTTCCAGCACTGATAACTGATAAGGATTATATAAAAAAGTGTCTCTTTCAATGCGTTACAGGCTTCACGACGAAACTATAATACCCTCTAGAAGGAATACTGTTTCCAGAGATAAGTTTCTAGAGTTATTTTTTTGATAGCGTAATCATTATGCGGTTCAATTAGCAAATTATGCAAGCGCAGCGCAATAAGCGCATTAATGGCAAAAATAATAATAAATGATGACTGGGCAGGACAAAGGATAAGCTGCGTACTAAGCTGCAAATAGTCACTTTATGGAATGAAAATGTTCCCTGCGGTTTTGTTTGCCACCAGCGTAATAAACGATAACTGGCGCCACCATGGTGACTTATTAAGTATCTACTCGCGGATCCTTTGACATAGTGAATGTCCTCACTAATGTATGCTAAATAAAAATGCACCCAGCCAATAAACGAGATACACAATATTTTACATAATAATCGTTTGTTTATTTCCAGCGCATCCATCATGACAACAGCTTTCGGCGGATGCAAGGAGCAAACAGCAATTGGCATGCATCCATTTATTCTATAAAAAAAATAACCTAATCCCACCTGCTGTCAATGTCAACGATGTGAACTTGTTTACCTCGTTCGATTGAACCGGAATGACGTACATGTTTATCGGATTCTATTCCACTTGCGGGCTGCTTGGCATATTCGCGGGCTGCTACTGCAGTGTACGGATTTTATTGATCAGTTATCAATGGTTCAATTTGTCTTCCGATAGCATTAAGTTTACTTTAACTTATGGATTTTTTAATTAAGTTTGGATTACATATTAATTCAAAATCTAAAGTTCATTGTCTTCTTGGAAATAAGTCTTCTTTAATCATTTTGAATGAATGCTTTTCCCATTTTCTAAATAATAAAATTATATAAACTTGAAATTCTCTATTCTGTAAAATGCCAAAAAACCAAATGCAATATTTGAGAACTGCCCTCGTATTCCTTGATAATATGCGACAGTTATATTTATTTTGTAGTGACATTTGTACTCGCATCAGACAGCGACATATTTGCCTGGAAAAATTGCATGAATGCGCGCTGAAAAGTGTGCTACATATTTGTATTGGCTGGCAAACAAATCAAATGTGGGACGGCACGGGAAATGAAAATGTAATCTCAACAAAAGCAGCAGAGCAGCAGAAGTTAAGCAAGTTTTACACTGATTTTAAATGATATTACATTATAATAACATAATCCGATAATATTAAAAGCGAAAGTATCCAATTAACGCAGTTGCTAGAAATTATGGATGAACAGTGTAATCACGACGTGCCCCTGGCTTAAATACAAATTCCAGGCAGCTTAAGTCCCAAGGGCTTCATGAAATTGCGACGCAGTTGAAGGATTTATTATTTTTTGTGTTTTTTGGGGATAAAATAATGTGGGGAGAAGCACTTGAGAAAAATATTGCCTGCAAATTAACAGTTAATTGATAAATGTGTGCGTGAAACTGGCTGTGAGCAACATCAACAGCAGCTCCAAAATCAAGCAAACCAGTTTTGCCCAGCGAGCTGCGGAAAAGCTGTTGAAACATCAGCGAAGTCAGTCAAATTAGCTTCTAATTAGATTTTATTGTCTTAGCCGGGTCAAAGGTGTGTGGGCGCAAGAATATACAGGATATGTGTGTGTGTGGATAAGTTTGTGTGTAAGTATGTGTGTGTGTGAGTGGGGTCAGTTAAGACAATCACCATAAGTTTGGCCATTTGTGCAGGCGTCATTGACGTCACTCAATCTTAATTTGAAATGATTGTCATTGTTAACCACTTAAAGAGAGGAAATATTTTCTCTCAACAAATAAATAAAACGGATAAAATACAATTTTGCATCAAATCTCTATATTTGTAATTTTTGCTTTGATTAAGTCTGCTTAATATTTTTACTTCATTCTAGCTTTACTCGTCCTTCAAGTTATTCAAAAAGAAACTGTACTTTCTAATTTCTGAATAATTCGGTTATGAATATTTAAACATTTAAGTTGAATATACATTAAATATAAATGTTTTGCCAATAATTAAAGTTAAATAAATATTGTATTTCGGTTAAGAAACATTAAATAAATTGATATCAGCATGAAAACTTACCTCTTGCAATTACTTTATTATTTTTTTGGTTTCGCTCTTTTTTTTTATCGCGCCCGCCTTTCTTAAAGCAGAAATCACTTTGGCGCTGTTCTATTTTATTTTCTAATGCTGTCGGGTCAATCAAGTGGAATCCTAAAGGGAGCATCAAATTGAAGCGTAATTATTTCTGCTTTGTTGCTCGCTTGCTTAGTTGCTGCGGCGCATTTCCCCTGTGACGTCGCCAACAATCAAATGGCGACTGTGGCACTGGGTCACTAGCGCAGCATGGGTATTATTTACTTTCACTGTGGCTGTTGATGTTCCTTTTGTTGCTGTTGTTGTTGTTGGTATGCTTTGGTCTAAGCCAAGTAATCAGGAATAATTACGTGGGCCTTAATGGGCCCGAAGGACGTGCAAAAACCCAATTTAAGGACTTTACAGTTGGAAAAGCACTTGAGAGCGACAAAAACCAAAAACAAAACATGTAATGCGCATTTTTTTTTGCAAATTACGCACAATTATGCCTTAACATTTTAATTTTAATCATTTAGAGCTCTCTCTCTCTCTCCCTCTCGCTATCGCCTACAATAACAAGAACCAACAACAACAACATTCAAGCAGACGCCATATGCCGGCAAAAGAAGAACAAGCACAACAACAACAACAGAAACACGAATAGAAAAGAGAGCCTATATGAAAGAGAAGTGCAGCAACAGTATAACCCGTTGCACCCACGCATACGTTATCAGCGGCATTACTATTGTTATCACTTACACCGGCAAGGAGAAGAAGATTATGGCAAATATACACGTGAAATTTTACGCGCGATAACTTGGGCAAAGCCGTAGCGAGCGCTACGTACTGTAACCGTTTATCAAATGAAACTGACGCCAAAACGGCGCCACCTGCTGCAGTGCACTGTTCCCCCACGTCAAAGAAGCTCCAAAAAATGCCGAAAAGTACTAAACGTGTATCCTGTGCGGTACTGGCAGCTGGACATTTGCGCGCGAAGTTCAAATCACACACTATCATATCGAAATGCATTAAGTTGCTGTGATATATTTCACAAATTTTGTTTTAAATAAATTGAACTCGTATTTTCCCATTTGTTTTTCATTCAGTTTTCTGTCATAACACTGTTATTCGGCCGCTGTTTAAATATTATATTTAATACTAAAAAGCCGGTCACTCTGCTGCTCAATGAACGCAACTATCGTATGTTAGGCAACAGCTGTTCTGTAATGGATCTGTTATTGCTCTGCTCAAGTTGTAGTTCGGCAGCTGTTATATTCAATTTCGGGAGTCGTTTGCCATATTTCTGTTAAACTAGAAGCTATTCAGTTACTCATCTTAAGCAATTGCTATTATCATTTTGCATCAAAGTTAATTAACCAAAATAGTTTAAAAACGCATTGCAATACAAATAGAGATTACCAAAACTTCGTGTTAATAACAGTCGAGCAAATGTTAAAATTTCTGGGTGCCCGCAGATGTATTTAGTGTTGGAAAAAACGTTTATTTTGCTCACTTAGGTAGCATGTTCGCTTAAGAAATAACTCCCAAGAAAAACAACAAAATTGGCAAAAAACCGCGTGCAATCCGTGTAATAAATATATTCAACACCTAAGCCCAGCTACGCGGCAGCAACTAAACACCATGCAAGTATCTCAAGTCTCTCGCCCAACTCTCTAATTGCGGGCGAAAAAAGTGCGCGTGTTTGTGTGCCTCGTACAAAAAAAAGAGTAGTGAAAAAAAGTCGCCGCCGAGGGTAACTGGGCGCAAAATACACAGAGAAAAACAACGAGCAGTGCCAGTCAACCAAATTGGCGCCACTGTAATGCGTTGAGGCAATCACAAGAAACAACAACAACAGCAACGTTAACAAAAACAATGTCCAAAACAATCGAAGACTTCGACGAGGAGCTGTTTGAGACGCGCCTCGAAGCGCTTAAGGATACACAGGAGTGCATACAGCATATGTCCAACTGGTGCCTGCAGCATCGCTTCAATCACAAGAAGATCATTCAGTGCTGGTTGAACGTCTTCAAGCGAGGTGTGTACAATCCGTTTTCCATTCTCTCACTGGTTAGCAATAAAGCGTTTCTCTTGCTCCCTGCCAATCCTTTGTCCAGTTCGCGTCGATCATCGCCTGGTGCTGTTCTACCTAGCCAACGATGTCATTCAGTACAGCAAGCGCAAGCACTACGAATTCGTCGAGTGCTGGGCAACAGCTCTGCAGAGAGCAACGACAATGGTGCGGTAAGTAACTACGAAAGTGCTCGACTAGTAAATACCCTGTAACTAAAAGTGGGCTTGAGTTGAATTTTTGTACACAAACAAATAAGAAGCAACATATTTAACTATATTTTGAGTTTTATATGAATTTATGCCAAACGTGATATATGTTTCTGATCAGCCCAAATAAATAGATTTAATGTGTTCTTCACCTAAATCAAAATTATATCTATAAATTTTGTTTAAATAATATAGTGACATACATTTATCAATACTAAACTCTTTGATTAACTATATATAAATCAAATATCGACTAATACAACTCCTGTCTTTCCCCCAGTGATGAACGGGTAAAGGGTAAAATATTGCGCATCTTTAAAATTTGGGAGCAACGCGAAATCTACAATGAAGAATTCCTCAGTGATCTGAGCGGTCTGCTTAATATAGCTCCGCCAAAGAAAGCCCCACCTAGCACCGATCCGAGCAGTGAGTATCAGAATGCAACACTAATTGCCCAGGTGAGAGAATGTGTCGAGCTCGCTGATACGACGGACAAGAGCATGAAGAAGCTACCGAAGCCGCCGACATTTGAATTGGAGGCGATTAAACAGCAGCTAAAGGACAAAAGCCATTCGGGTGACATTGAAAAGGAACTCGAACGCTGTGTGGCTTTCATCAATGCCTACAATAAGAATCTGCAGAACGAGATCAAATGTCGCAAATCGGTGCTGGAGTCCATCGATGCGGCTAAAAAGTTCTACGAGCATCAGGGACGAGAAGTCAAAGTGGTTGCCAGTGTGAGTAGTAGAGAAATTCATGAAAAAATAGATAGATTGATTTTAACATTCGCTTTTGTTGTAGGCCTATAAAAGTTTTGGCACACGCATAAAAATTGTGAAACGCAAGCTGGACGAGGTAATACCCACGCTGGCCAGTCCCATACCCTCACCGGACATAAATGCACCATCGCCAGAACGTGATGCGGATTTGCAGCTGCCGGATGAGAATAATTCACCGCTGGGCGTGGTAAGCTTAAATCCAAAAGCGGTTAAAAAATATGTATTATAGTTTATGAGCCTTCCTGTATTGGATTTCATTTTTTTTTCGTTTAGTTATTGTTAAATTTTAAGAAAGAATAAGAGAACAAAACTACTACTATCAAAATTCATTAAGTTTTTAACCTTAACTTTAGTAAATATTGAAATTAAATTGAAATCTGTCCTCAGCTTATTTATACTCTATATTTCTTCTACGATTAATGTTGAGATCTTTGGTTGTCTCCTATAAAACAATTCTTCTGATTTCTCTTGCCTGCAGAACATATTCAGCGGCAGCGGTCTCAATGGTTTTGCCAGCTATTTGGACGGTGGTCAACTGCCGTTCGATATAAACGACTTCAAGCGTGAGTCGAGTGGCAAGGATAGGGGCAGCGCCATTGAGGTTATTGGGTCGCGTTCGGATGATGAGAGTTATACGCCCGGCGCCAGTTTCTATAAGCCCGAGACACTGAACAGCAGCAGCTATACCAATAATAATGCCAATGGAAATGGTGGCGGTGCCATACCAGGACTCGGCGGAGGTGGAGCCGTTAGCAGCGCCAGCGAAGAATATAATCCCAGTCAAGTGCAGTCGGTTTATGGTGGCGTTCTGCCGCCGCCCCCGCCGCCGCATATCGGCTATGGCCAGACGGAGACTCAATATACGCCCGCGCCACTGAACAGCAGCAATCCGATGGCACCACCGCCGCCGATGCCGGCATCGGGTGGCAGCGTCGATGATTTCAATAGCACCTGGGACATGAACATGACGTGGACGCCGCTCGACAATAGTCTAAATAGCAGTGGCGCCAGTTCCAGCTATACGACATCATCGCAAGCGACGCCGCACTCGCCGCCGCATTTCGAGCGCAAGGGCAGCGGTGCACCGATCGAGTACAGTGAGCACCACAATGTGGCTGGCCTTGGTGCACAGGATGTGGATCATCGTACAATCCAATTGCCGCCGGCATTCAATTTTCGACCCAAGTCTGCGCTGAGCGAAGAGCAAACGCGGCAACTGGTCGACATTGATCATAGAAATTTGATATCGCTAACGGGTTCCCCGAGTGGTGCAGAAAAGGTGCGATTTCGAAATTACTTACCACTCAACTAAAAGGGAAATGTATAAATTGAAAAGGAATTTATTATTTATCGAATAGTTAACATCTCTCAACGTGTAATGAATTTTACTTTATAAAATAAAAACCCCTTCGTCCCATTGCTTTGCAGGAGTTTGGTGGTGGCGATGTGGACTATCGCACAGCGACCACCGCGAAGGGCGAGGAAACGGGCAGCGCCATACGGAGTCTGGGCAACAATTCACCGATGATGGCGCCGCCGGGCAGCTTTGTGAAGAAGACCAGCTCGCCGCAGAAATCCAATGCGAGTAAGAGTAAATAATAAACGTGCTTTTTTAAAGTATATTTTGCATTAAGTAAATCGAAACAATTGCAGGCTCCTCTTCCGAATCTGATCGTGTGGATGGCTCGGCGCGTTATGATCCCGCCGATATGGTCATTGACATGGACATGTCCGACGAGGATTTGGATGAGTTGCAGCTAGGTAAAGGATAGCGGAAGGCATTCAGTAATTTCATAGCTATAGTTGGCGTTGTTAAATATAATAATTTTCACACAGAACTCAATGCGAATGTGGAGCTGAATAATGTGGATGGTGAAACGGATGCAAATGGCGCTTTAACGCCGCGTCCAGTGCTGCTGGAAACGCCGCAGGAGTTTCAATGGGATGCCAGCAACAATTTTCTTGCAGCTGCCAACACCGGCAACATTCAAGACATGCAGGCCGATGCACAACAACAACAGCAGCCGCCATTGCCACCACAGCAACAACAGCAGCAGCAGCCGTGGAATCAAATGCAATCACCGATGCCATGGAATGGCAACGAGGGCAACAATGGATCAGCTGGTGTGCCGCCATTGCCCAGGTCGCCATTTGCTGGGGGGCCCTATCAGCAGCCCTTTCAGCCATTTAGCAATAGTCCGGATAGACCGAATTATAGACCGTATAGACCGAATTATCAGCGCATGCCCGGACCCTTCGATGGTGGGCCAGGACCAGGTGGACCTGGTGGACCGCGTCAATTCTTTCCACGCGGCGGTGGCGGTCCCATGCGCGGTGGCGGTGGGCGCAGGCGCATGCGTGGTAAACCTTGGATGTAATTACGTATTATAGATTCTATATTTATACACATAGACACACAACTCAACACACACTCACACACAGATACACACATACATAAACGCATACACATACGCAATTGCAAAGTTTTTAGTTATTAGACGTCTTTATCTCATTTGGATTTAACTTATGGACGCATATATTGACCATATACACACATAATTTTAATTGACATCCTGGCAAGCTGCGGATCGTTGGCTATTAAATAAACTATATACTTATAAACAGAAACATATTTTGGATGCACCCCAAACTCGGAACTGTCTATAAACTATGCTTAAGCAATAACGTTTTACAATTTTCCTGATAAATACAATATTAATTATTATATTCATATAACGACAGTTCTCCTCACTAAATGTTTGTTTTGAGCTAATGCTAATTATAAATATATCAATGTTTTCATAAATGCAATATTAGATGAGTTATTTAAAGAGGCTCAAATTTCGTTTATTTATCAAATGCCATAAAAAGTGCATTTTTTTTAGCACAATAAAATTCATCTACAAGCTCCATTGAGTGAATTTATGGGTTTCTCCGGGGTTTACCCAATTAAGTTGCTGACTGGTTTTTATCATTTCTTATGTCGCCAAACAGTTTAGTTTATCTCCATTGTGATATATAGTTTTTTTTAGTCAACAATCCAAATGCTTATTTTTATAAAACTTTCAAAGACTCATTTAGTAACAAAATATATCAAACAAATTTCGTTTAAGTTTAAAGTTGCCTTAGCCTCTAGATCTTCTACATATAATATATATATATTATACACTTAACAATTAATTTCCACACATTGCTTTTAATTCTCAGCACTAGTTTTTAAGAAAAAGTATAATGTAAATATAAATGTAATTATTATAGAAACTAAATTATATCTTTACGAACTTCGGTTAAGCCAAAGTTTAATGTTCTTCACTAAATGTCAACACATACCAGATTAAATAATAACCCTCTGTTCGGTAAAAAAAAAAAGTTAAAAAAAAAAATCTCGTTAAAAGAATTTCAAATTAAATAAAGATTGATTTCTTTAAAATATTTACTTGAAACATGCCCGAACAAACTAAACGACTGCTATGGGAGACTTGGGCAAAGTTATTTTTACTGATCATTGGCCATATTATATGGACTTACCTTATTTGGAATGATAGCCCCATTTGACTTTTTCCAAAACGAACTCAAAGACTGATTCCCGTTTTAATCTAATTCTGAATTCCATATTTATTTCCCAATCGGACTTTTAAACACAGGGGGAACTTCCATTCGTAGAAACCACAAACACGACTTTATGTCATCTCTTAGTACAAAACTGCCATCAAAATATCATATCACCTCATGCCAAAAAAAAAAAAGAAAGAATACAAAAAAGATACATTTGTGAAGAAATTAAAATCAAAAATAATATTCTAAAATGAATTTATATAATGCATAGTCAGCGGAGCCAAGAGCCATATGTGTAGCTTTACTTAGTGCCCTAGTTAGTATCTTAATCATAGTATATTTATTATATATGTAAAATTAGTTAACATTTAGTTGTATAAATACAAACCGTAATGTGATATTTAAAATTGAAAATGTTGTCTTTAATTTGGAACTTGGAATTTCGGATCAACCACCCATGCAATATATTTACAAATGACTATGTTTAAATCATCATCTTCGTATCCCGCTCAGCGAAGGATCTAAGACAGCGCCAAGTGCTGTTTACCTGTTGACGGTTTGCACGGCACTCAATCACCTCCTATTTAGAGTTTTGGTTTTGGTTTTGTGTCGGAAGTCGGAACTCATCAATCGTGTCGGCAAACTGCTGTTTTGACTGTTCGTTGCATTTGTGGGCGTTACGCCCTCTACTTAGCCAGCTCAAGGAGTTTGTTTGTAAGTTCCCAAGGATAACCGAAACAGCCGTAACAAATATAAAACGTCAAATGAGTTGAGCGTTGTGGAAATTGTGAATTAATGAGCCAACTGGCTGAGTAGACTTTAAAATATACTCGACAGATATTGTAATATTTGCACTGTTTAACACATAATATTGAACTTTTGTTATAACATTTAACACGAACAAATTATTTATATTAAATCTAAAATCTAACCCGTAAATCAAATAAGATTTAACTACAGAACTTTATTAAAATACTTTATGCATTTATACATTTCTATAGAACTAAGAAAGAATTTTTATTTTATTGTGAAAAATGTTCAATGTAAAAGACTATTATTAAACTTCTCATTGGGTTCAAATTTGGTTATCAAAACTTAATAATTTTATAACTTCTCTGGGCCTGTTCAAATTCTTGACTTTTACCATTTGATTTATGTTTTTCTTTAAATAATGCAACATTTTTTAAATAAACCTTTTGTGTGCCACAAAACATTTTATAAATTCAGAAAAATACTTGCAGCTATTGAAAGTGAAATTTGCATTCATCTGGAATTATATATTATTATTGATTTACACAATTATTTATAGATTTCTTATATAATAAAAACCATTGCAGTATAAAGAATGCATTAATTATTTTTATTTTTCATTTAAGAATATATTAAAATTATTACTTAAGATAAGTATATACAAACTAAACGTTAAAACTAACAGCCTTTAAAAGTTGACACTAGGTTCAAGTGTTGCTACAACATGCTTCCTGGTTGCGTTGCCCTCCCCCTCCGTCAGTCTGCTTCAGTCGCCTTCAATAGTCTCGTGAGAGAAGCGTTAGCAGATCCCCAATATACGCCTGGGCCATTTGCAATGTTTCGTACTTGGAGAGCCGTCGATCGTGACCCAGTGACGGAACCACATCCCTCAGCTTATCGAAGGCATCATTCAGGCTGTTCATGCGGCGACGTTCGCGTGCATTGGCAGCCAGGCGGCGCTTCTTCACGACCTCCTTGCCACCACCTAGCTCCTGATCTTCAAGCTCTAAATATTCTTGCGAGGATGCCTTTTGATAGGCATTTCTTTCGTAGGGCATGCTACGTGAGGTTCTCTGCCAGTATTTCGCTGCCTTCGTTTGGAATTTGGAGGCGCCACTGGAGGCCATTTGCTGCTGTTGCTGTTGCAATTGCTGCTGCTGAGTTTGTGTGCTGAGCATTTGCTCCAATTCCAGCACCGCTGGCATCTCGTAGTACAGCTCCAGGGAGCAACTATTGGTGCCATCGGAGAGACTATCAGCACTGCCACTAAAGTCCTTATCCTGCTCCTGACACATGAGCTGCTCCAGCTGCTGGTGCAACAGATTCCCATTGCCAAGAAGCAAATCATCTGCATCCATCTCCGTTGCGTGACTTTCCGCACTGTAGTAAAAGTGTTCGATGAGCTCGTTGTTCGTCAACATGTTGCAAGTATGTTAGTTAAAGGATAACTGACGCAGGCTCCGACAGCAGAAGGCCTTTAAATAGTCAGCAGCAGGCAGTGATCAACGTTGATTGGCTTACAGCCAAGAAATGCTCTTACCTGATTCGCTGAGCGGCTTCTGTCTCCCAACTGATCTTGTTTTCTTGTTCCTTGTTTGTTGCCTGGCTACCTACGACAGCCCGTGCCCTAAAATTGGCTTGCGGTCAAAACGTTTAATTGCCACTTCGGGTAGATTCTGCCACAAGGCAGCAGCTCTCCTTTGTTTGACCTGACATTTGCTACCGTCCCATAATTACACTAAAAAAAAACAGCATCAAAATGACACTTGAAAAGATACTTAAAAGTAACAGTGTGCAATTTTCCTAAGATTACGAAACTCATTTTTACCATCTGGAGAAAGTCAACAATCATAATCAATCATAATAAAATGTGAACATTTTTCCAAAACTTCAATCATAATATTTTACACGATTTATGTGGACAACTTTTGTGAAATATAATATATATTTGTTACTAGAAAATGATTACTTTCTTGTAAATATTAATGACAGTGATGCATTTTTGTTGTATGCTGCAAACTTCTTTTGTATTGCAGCTCCAATTGGCTTTTTATAATGCATATGAATTTATTTAATGTTATATGTCAAACAATTGTTGCCAAGGTCAATCATGGCTCAACAAAAGATAAAAGACGCCTTATTTTCTTTTGTTATGCGAATACAAGTATTACTTATATGTTTATTGCTGCTTTTTTTTGGTAATATGGTCCCATAACCGCATTGTGGGCCATCAGTTTTAGCCAGTATCCAAATTACTTTGCATGTCTGTGGTCACCCGATCGAAGGGATCCTTCAGTAAGTGCTTTGCGCTAAATTTCTCCATTTATGCGAATTTGCATTCAAGTGTGGTATTATTGTTGCACTACTTTCGATTTTAGCCATTGTATTTTATTGGGTCACAAATAAATATTTACTGAGAAAGAACAAACTGAAGTGATCTTCATAAGATCAAAACTCAACATAATACAATTACCTGGGAGCACATATGAAAAATGATTGAATTTGTGTAAACAAATCGGAAAATGTGAACATTGTTGTAACCAATCATTTAACACAATTAAAAAAAAGGAGTTCATTTTTGATTTCATTTAAGTACGTTTCCTGTTAAGACTTAATCAGCTTTTTACAGTTTGGCAATGAAACGATCGCTTCAAAAATTTAGCTGAATGAATTTGTGAATCCCAAAGGAATCCAATATTTGGCACCCCGTTGCTGTTGCAACTTGTTAAGCTTATCAGTTGCCCACTTAACACTTCGATTTCCACTCGAGCCGAAGAATGAAATGGATCGTGGAACTGTGTGTTTTGGGCGCCCATTTACCGCTACCATTAAATGCTTATTAAGATAAGTTTGTGCAGTGTTGGGCTCGCGTAAGTGTAAAAGGACAAAAAGATTACCCAACGGCAGTCGCAATAGAGTCATAAATGTCACAGGACGCTCTATTTATGCGATGACTATTTATGATACTCATCAAATAGGGTTGCCGCTCAAGGAGCTACCTGCCGTCAGCCGAAGGACCTTTCAAGGGGTTTTTTCTCTTGTCTCGTGTTTGTTTTCCAAATCACTGTTAAGTGTCAATAAATTCTCATAAACGTTGCAATTGCCTGACACATTCCTTGGGCCTATCAAGGAGCCTAACGGATATGCTGATATGAAGAGCAGCGAGTGGAGTTGGGGTTACTAAATGGGACGTTTGCCTTAAGTTATGGCATCAGTTTCAGTTCCAGAGAAGCAAGGCGCATTCTTTGAGCACGCTCTAGAAATTAAATGACAATTTAAATTCCATAAAAACGTTTACATTCAGATTTAATTTAAGTTAATCCTTAGAAAATGTTAATCCAAAACGCGACACGCTGTCTGGGAATGGTTCAGGCACAGCTGGTCCACAGAAAGCAAAACAAATTTACACGGAAAACATAACCAAAATATTATATATATGGTATATTTAAGTCATAATGCTCGAATATTACATGGTAATTTGGCTCAGATCTTAGTTGAAGTTCTTCTCACAACACAATAGAACAATAGAATAAAGATCACTTCTCAGGGCATTGTCTGTGCAAACAAAAGAGCTATGTTATTTAGGCCCTCGCCAGACAAGTGCAATTGGCAATTGCACTTGGCAGTTTCCCAGGGACAAAAGACTCGGAGTCCCAATGAGTCGAATGAGTGACAAAGAAACAATCTCACGCAATACTCGAACACAATACTTGTGGACTGATAGAACAATACTTGTGGTCTAATCGCATTTTCGCAATTTAGCGCCAACGCATAATCCGCACAACGAAAACGATTAATCTAAGGGAAGCCAGAATGAGGAGAGAGCGAACACGCATGGGATTATCATCAGTTGGCCTATTGTTGATCTGATGGATGCCCATGGGTTTGACTTTCAACCAAGCACCGCCTACTTAGCTATTGTTGCTATTTTGACAAGGACATGCAACTGGGGCAAGTGTTGGGCGCAGGTAAGCAGGACATGCTAATTGGAAATTTCCCTGCAGCCAACCAAACAAAAATAGAAGGCGTTGTCGATCTTTAGCTGAGCTCAGGTTAGGCAAACCCAATAATTAAGCCAGTCCTTTCGCTAGAAATTGCAGCATAATATCAAGTTTTTCTGCGGTCGCGTGGCACATCGATCAGTGGGTCATCATCATCATCATCATGGTCAGGATCAGAAGCCAGCGAGCGTCAAGATCAAACGTCACGATTCTTGATGTCCTTTTGTCGGCATGGCTGCGATCTGATCTTTGTGTGAAATACTCTGCATCATTTGTACATTTTAGCCATGCTCGGCGCTAGACGCGTCCTCTGTTTTGGAATTGTTTTGGCCATTTTCTTTAGAAATGCAGCCAAGTGTTTGAATTGATTTTCAGTGTGGAGTTAATTAACCTTTCGTTGCGGCTTCTTGAAAGTGTGCTCCAGGATCACTCACAAATGGAATGTGGTGCATAATGGATGGCTTCAAGCCGAGAATTGCATCAACTGCATGATATGCATTTTCTCGAGTATCGCAACTCTATTACGATCTTTGTCTTTTTGTTTTATTCACTAGCTCAACTGTTTTAGTCATAAAAGCTAAAAAAAAACATCGGAAATATTATCATCTTTTTGTACACTATGCGACAAGGGGAATTCCTAAAATATATATTTTTTTGGGGAATTTACTTTCTAGAAAATCACAAATCTAACTGCATACAGAAATTAAAGTAATGTCATAGTAAAGTCATAACGCTAATTTTATTATACTTGAAAAGAAATGAATACATTGATGTAAGTGTATACGTTAACATACGGGATTGGTTATTCACATTCACTACATAATATAAATAAATATGTATATATTTATATATATTATATTATATTATTGTTAAAAGTCTGCAACAGTAATCAACCGACTGTGAATTGCACCAAATAAATATAAAACTAAAAGCTACATGATATCTATGTTTTAGCGTAACCAAAATTAAAGGTTTTTATAATACTTTCTTCTTCTTTTCTTGTCATAAAAAGAGATAGGTTCTCGAATCACAAATCGTTTTAATATCGAACTGAGAACAATTTGGTCCGCATATCTGTTTGGTGTTAAATGGAGTGTAATATTATGTATATTGATATAAAAGTATGTGTTAATTTGAGAATTACTGATATGATAATTGGTACAAAGTGTTTCGATGATATTAGAGTTGTTGTGATTGTTGTTGTTGTCGTCGTTGTGTACTAAGCAATTTAAAATAAGTTACAAGTGGTTGTACAAATATGCTTTACTACACAGCTTTCAGCCTACTCACAACACACACAACTACATAATAATTATAAATTATAGACATACATATCTATATATAGGCCCTAAGGCACTTAACAGATGGAAAGATAGAGAGCAAACGGACGAACGAACTAACGAGCTAAATTTGATTGAATCCGGTTTTTATATATAGTCGGCTTCATTTTGTATATGTTTGTATATGTTGGGAGTATGCAATGCATTTTGATATCACTGTGCGCCTACAATCTCAACAGCGAGAAAAGTCACAAGAGACGGAGGGTGCATGGGAAGTTGGGTGCTTAAAGCGTTGTCGACGTCACTGTGCTAACGCCATGCACCAGAATCGTTGGCGGCAGATCGGCGGTTAATTCGGTAAGTAGCTCCACATAGTTGGCGCTGCGATCGTTAAAGTCCGGCAATGTGGGTTTCGGTGGCGCCGCCAAATAGATGAAGGATAAGGCCGTTTGATCGGAACGATCGCGTATTATTTGATTCACACGCTGCATGTAGAGCAGCGAACGATTGAATTTATCCTCAGCGATTTCATCGCCATCGTCCAGCAACGCATCGTCCGCTTGGGCCGTAAACTGTTTGAGTATGCGTGCTTGTTGCGTGAATTCCGTATCTCGACTCCATTCCTGTATCTCCAAAATGTCCGCCTTGATGCGCAGCTCCTTTAGCGATTGCTCCAGCTTCAACTTGGAGAACACGTCCATTTGTGGTGCATGCGTATCGAAGGTGCTGCGTTGGCAAATCAAATCATAAGCTGCAGTTGAATCAATAAGCGATTTAATTTCATTATTTACCTTATGGTGCGCGACTCATTTGTCTCGCACAGAAAGATGCGCACACGCAAGTGTTTCCATTTGGCCAACATAATCACAGCCAATTGCATCATGAACAAGGAGACCACATCGAAGGGATCACCCGACGTGGGATTGAATACGTTGATGGGCCAAACATCAATATACTTTACATGCTTGCTTCTGTAAATTTGGAAATGTAGTTCGTAAATGTTGATTGTGAATTTTAAATGATTCAATCATTTTTACGCACATGGCTATAAAGTTCTTGTCCAGGCGCTGGAAGTTGCGGCACAGGCACAGATTCTTCTTCATGCGCAGCGTATCGCAAAGGATATGCACATATTCCTGCACCTCAAAATGTTTCGTTTCGCCATCGTGACGTATGGGAAAGTTATGGGTTTCACCCTCGTTAAAGCCATCCGTTTTATAGGGCGATGTGCCACTAAAAATTTGTTTGAAATTATTACAAATTATAATTAAATTGAAATTTCCAAATCACTCACTTTTGAAAGAAATCCTTGGGCGCCTCGTTATCATAGAAGCCCAAAATAATCGTGTTTGGCTTCATCGCACCGATACCAGACAAACGAATCAAATGATGAACACCCTCGCGTATGCTGCGACTGATGGTAACCTCGGTGAAAGCCTTGACACGCATGTGATCGAGGAATAACCACCACGGCTGGGTATCGACGGCATCCTCGGCGCCACTGAAGTCGCCCAGCTTGACGTGGCCAATGATGTAGAGGCCGCTCTTCTTCAGATCGTTGACAAAGTCGACCAGTGGACAGCAGGAACGTGGCGAGGAGACCAATAGCAGAATTTGTGGACGCCAAAATTTGACGTGATCCTTGCGTGGATCCAACATAAGCAAGTATTTGCGCACCTAAAAATAGTGTAGGAAATGAGTGACTTTATTTTTTTGTGGGTGTATATAAATTTGTCTACTCACCTGATGAAACATCAACGCCTGGGAAATGGAGCCCCACTGCGCCGAATGCGTAGCTGGAGAGAAGAGGTGCAGTGCAATGACCAGGATCAGGCACAATATAATGCTTGAGGATGCGTAGATTGGATTGATGACAAACATCATGATAAGCGTGCCCAGCAGACCAATGAGACACGTGTGCCACGTGAAGTATTTGAACAGTGGCCGAAAATTGGGAGCACCCGTCAGCTCAATGCCCAAACACGCAAGATTAGTGGCCAAATAGGAGAGCATAAACAGCACCGAATTGATCTGGGCAATGAGATTGAACGAGCCAATCAACAAAATACACTCGACGAGCACCCAACTGATGACGACAGCACAAATGGGATTACCCTTCCAGGTGCCACGAAGCACAAAGTTAAGCAGTGGACCAAAGACCTGATCCTTGCTGAGAGCCTCCAAAATACGACTGGAGCCAATCAGATTGCTCAAGCCCGTTGAAAAGGTGGCCGTCAAAATGCCAATAGCGGTAAATGGTGGCCAGAGATTGACGGGCATCAGGAATAGATAACTATTGCGCATCGTCACCGACGGCGTCGTGCAGCTCATCAGGAACGACAATATGACGTAGGCGACAAAGGTGAAGCCGACGGCGGACAGTGTACCCCATGGTATACTCTTCGAGGGGCTCTTCAGCTCACCGGACATATTCGCACCGGCCATAATGCCCGTAACGCCCGCGAATAGCACACCAAATGTGGTTGAGAAGTCCGCAAATTTGCCATTTGCTGTATAATCCGGTCCGTAGTGGGAGCCCAGGTTATCTCTCAAGGTTGTCGCATTGAGTCCCGTATAAGGTAGATATGCAATCACTGAATCATTGCTTTTATTGTAGATTGTGTTCGCTAACGGCACAAGGATCTGTTGAATACCGAAAATGTATACAGTGTCTCGCAGTTCAACTGGAACAGCGCCTAGCAAAATATTTAAAGTGCAATAACTTTTAAACAAAACAATAAACGCAAAATGTTTAAATGCCAATTTGTTTTATGTTATATCACGTTTGAAAAGGAAGCTTCAGTTTTTATTAAAATATTAAATAATTAACTGAAATTAGTCAAAAACTGAAAACATATCCAAAATACATGTCAAAGTTTTTTTGGAACAGTCTTAGAAAAGTAACATATTAGGCGTATAAAAACTTAAATAAGGATGTTAATACTTAGTATGATATCCTTTACCCCTAATAAAGTCCCTTAACCTATTATTCATGGAAGATACCAGCTTCCGGGTCGTTTCTGGACTGATTTTGCTCCACTCATCCAGCAGAGCATTCTTGAGATCGGATCTGTGATTCCGGATGTTATTTTCGAGCAGAGCCCACAAATTTTAAATAACATTTAAATCTGGAGACTGGGCCTGTGGAATTATCATGTGGAGGCAGTTCCAGATATGCCAAGACCGTACTAATCCGGACTTATTCTTGGTTGTTGTCGTGGTAGATCTGGAAAGTACTCCGGATTCCTAGCTTCTCGGCACTTTGGAGTAAATTTTCCTTTAATATATTGAAATACACACTCTTTTCCATTGTTGTTTCAAAAAACACCAAATTTCCGACGCCGGCTTCCGAGATAGATGCCCATACCATGACACTTCCTCCGTCGTGCTTGACTGTTGCCTTTAGGATTTTGGGACTCAGCTCAGTTTTGGACTGTCGCCACACATAATTCCGTCCGTCCGAGCCAAAAATGTTGAATTTGGACTCATCTGCAAATATGACTGTGTCCCAGAACTCCAAATCCTTGTCCAAGTGGGTTTTGGCGAACGTCATCCTAATCCCTTTATTTTTTGCGCTTATAAAGGGCTTCTTCCGTGGTACTCGGGCATTAAAGTCATGTTTGCGCAGAACCCGGCGCACAGTTTCCACACTGCACTTTTTCCCCATTTCATCCTGCACCTGTTGAGTCAGTTTTGGAGCCGATAGCTTGGGATTTTCCCTTATTTTCCTGATGATCCTCCGCTCCTCCTGTTCGGTGAAAATCTTGTGTGGTGCCTTTCTGCCCTTGTCCTCTATCCGATTTTCGTCGACGAAGCGCCGAATGATATTGAATACAGTTGTGGTACTCAGATTTACCATTTTAGCTATTTGGCGAAATGAATATCCAATCCTGAAGTGTTCCAGGATCAGTTTCCGTTGTTCAATGGTAGTCCGCTTGCACATAGTCCTTGTTGGCTGGTTGCACTCGAGATGCAGGATATAACTAATCTGACTACGAAGGATTGGTCTATTTATACCAAAAATAATCAACCTGACGTAAAAAATCTGGGTTTTATGGCACCCAGGTGTCCATAACGCCATTGTTCCACATAATATGTGACCACAAATTAAGGTACTTTTTTACATAACCCGACCTAGCCGGTGGGAAAACCCCAGTTTATGGGGGTCATATAGTCATTTAGGTAGTCAATATATGTACCTGCCATAGTTCTTTGGAATTTTTGAAAAATATTGAATAATTTGTTTATGGCAGGCAATTAACTTTTTTGCTAGGCGCTGTTCCAGTTGAACTGCGAGACACTGTATATGTATTTTTAGTGGAGATAACAGAGAGATTATTGCATTTAGTTGATGATTATATTCTCAATTTTTTGTCCGACATTCGAGCATTTTAGTTTGCTTATCAGCAGTGAACTTAATGAGTCAGTATTGCGTCGCCTGTGCGGCTTAAATTATCAACTAAGTGCACAAGTACAGTGGATATTGCATTGAAATTAAATAAAAACAAAGGCTTAAAAACTAGCAAAATTAGTAAGTAAATTACTGAAAATGCTCGAAAGTTGTTTTGAAGGTTTGAGTCATAATTAATAAAATAACAGATAAACTTTCATATTAATAAAATATTTCGATGTGATTCTAAAACTAAAAACTGTGCTTAACAACCACAGTGGGGATTTCTGTGGGGCAGCAAAACAAAAGTGACCGAGACCTAAAATAATGCCATAAAATGTTATCTAGAGAACACAGAAAATTATCGAAAATTAATGAAATGAAACGAAACCGTTGCTAAAAGTTAGTGAATCTATTTCATGGGGCATATACTATATATATATATATATATATATATTTATATATAGATTGATAAGGCTGTCGCGGATTTAGTTGCATGATTGATTGGAATCCCCCTTTGCTGACTTGTATGGAGGGCATTGGTTTTCTTACCGTATGATCGGTGGCGCCAACTGCCAAAAAGCTGATAAACGTTGCCAATAGACAAACGGTCACAGTTCCCAAAATAAGCACTGACGTCTTGGCAAAGAGGGCGGCACCCACCAAACAGACCAACAACATGGACGTATTGATCATGCTGCTAACGAAAAACCGAAACCACTTCCCATCCGGCAGACCGTCTGTGCTCGCAAACAGGCCACCCGGTCCAAAGTCATCCATGATGCCTTCCGTGCAGCCCGAGATGGCCATGGCACTGCCCACTACATTTGCAAAAAAGAAGAGCGTGCCAATGGAGCCACCAAATTCCAGGCCCAATGTGCGACTTATCATGACTGAAATGGAGAGGGGAACAATTGTAAAATTTGAGTAAAAAGAACATTTCGCAAGGGATTACTCACAATAGACGCCGCCGCCTTCAATTGCGCCATTGGTGGAAATGGCACAAACCGAAGCAACCGTAAACAGCAGAATTGCATAGGCGATGATAAACTGCAGCAGGGTCACATATAGACCCGCATTGCCAATGATATAACCTAGAACGGGAGAAAGAGAGGCGAGAGAGAGAGAGATTAGAAAATCGGCGAACCAACAAGTGTTTACTCTTGTGACGTCACCGACACTCACCGACACGTATGAAGACAAGGCCACTGAACATGGACAGCGCCACCGGACTGAAGACGCCCGCAAATGTGCCCAGAGTGCGTCCGCTGCGTTCCGGATCCTGCATGCCAAACTCTACATAACCATCGCTCGATTGTGGCGTCGGTGGTCGGGCGACTTCTGATCCGCCGCCAGCGCCGAAGAGCGAACCAAAGCTGCGAAACATATTCGAGGTGCTGCCATTTCGCGGGGCCGCTATTGGAGCGGTCTCCTGATCTGTGCTGATGCTCATCGCATTCAGCTGTCCAAATGACAACTGCTTAAAGTATTAAGTCACCCACACCCACACAAGCACACACACAATAACGCACTAACAAATAAATGAGCGCTTGTAATGACGCCCACAATTGCAGCAAATTAGGGAAATTTATTTATTTTTTCTATGTGTGTATTTTGTTATTTAGGCCGCTTCACAGCGTTTGATTCTTTTGTTTGCGATGCGTTGCGTTTTCTTGTGCTCTTCCTCGGTTTTCTTGTTTTCTAGTTCAACGCGTCACCGTTTTCTTTTTTCTAGTTGTCTGCTGGCACGGAGAAATCACGCAAAACTAAGTTCCCACAAAACCCCAAAAGGGTCGGGGCTCCAAAAGAACTCAGCTGGCAGCTGAAGTCATTGGTATTTTGCAGTATTTTTTAGCATCATTTAAAATACTGAAAGTCGGAATTTTCGCACATTGCACTACAGATTGTGAATAGGTGAGCAGATCTGACTATGATTTATTTTTGAGACATAAATGATTATAGAAAATTACTAATTACATAATTGAAAGTATTCCTTGTAATTTTTTTTTGTAGCTTTTTTATTTTCTTTTTTCTTAATTTGTATAATGCTAACTGAAAGTGTCTCTGTTTGAATATTTGACCAGTCACAGTGACTGAGTCACAGTTACTTGTACTTCAAGTCACCTAAAAGCCGGTGCCGCTCATCTCTGATGAACACACATCTGTTTTGTTTTCACAAAACGTTTGACTGCGGAAAGATTTTCAATTTCTCCGCTGTTCAATTGGAAAATGGTGAATGATAAAAAGCGACGTTCGCGATCACGAGAGCGTTTCAGAGATGATCGCGTTGCAAACGCAGCCGACAGAGATCGCGAACGGGAACGGGAACGGGAACGAGAACGAGAGCGACAAAGAGACAGAGATGGCGCCAGGCACAGGGAGCGAGATGCGAGGGAGCGACAAGTGGACAGAGAGAAGGATCGACGTCAGCGACGCTCTCGCTCCAGGTAAGTAAAACCGAATTAATACCGAGATGAGATTTAATTTAAATGTTTTTTTTATCTCTGCAGAGAGGATCGCGCTAGACGTGGCGGTCGCTCTCCCGAGCGTCAGCGTCCCATACGCGAACGTTCTCGGGAGCGGGGAGGACGCAATGGCGAGCCGGAAAAGAAGCCCAAATTGGATGCGGGCGTTAAGGGTGAATCTGCAACAGGCACAGGTTTAAAGGTCGAAGATGAGAAGTTGGAGCAGAAGGACGATGTCAAGTTGAAGAAGGAACCGCTGTCCCTTGAAGAGCTGCTGGACAAGAAGAAGCGTGAGGAGGAGGCGCGCAGCAAACCCGTATTCCTAACGAAGGAGCAACGTGCTGCTGAGGCGCTGAAGCGTCGCCAGGAGGAAGGCGAACGCATGCGTGCCGCTCGCGATGCTGCCAGGGAACAAATTCAGGCTGCGCATAGCAAGCCAAACAGTAGCGGCGGCATAGCCACAGCCTCAGCAGCGCCGCCCATATCCATGCCTCCCCCCGCACAGCCCATGAAGAGCGAACAACGCGATCGTCGCGGAGGAGGAGGAGGGGATCGTGGCGGAGATCGGGGTGGCGGCGGTGGAGATCGTGGAGGCGGCGGAGACCGTGGCGGCGGCGGAGATCGTGGAGGCGGCGGCGGAGATCGTGATAGGGATAGCAAACGTGTCGAGGATCTGACACACAAGGACAAAGAAAAGGAACTGGAGGCGATACGTGAACGTTATTTGGGCATTGTGAAGAAGAAGCGACGCGTTCGACGCCTCAACGATCGCAAATTCGTATTCGATTGGGATGCTGGCGAAGACACCTCCATCGACTATAACAATTTGTACAAGGAGCGTCATCATGTGCAGTTCTTTGGACGTGGCAATGTCGCCGGCATCGACATCAAGGAACAGAAGCGTACACAGAGCAAATTCTATGGTGATCTGTTGGAAAAACGGCGCACCGAGGCGGAGAAGGAGCAGGAGAAGGTACGCCTGAAGAAGATGAAGCGCAAGGAGGACAAACAGAAGTGGGACGATCGCCATTGGTCTGAGAAGGACAACGATGAGATGACGGAACGCGATTGGCGCATCTTTCGCGAGGATTACAACATCACCATCAAGGGCGGCAAAATACCTAATCCCATACGCAGCTGGAACGAATCTGGATTTCCGCCAGAGATCATCGAAATCATCGATACGGTTGGCTACAAGGAGCCGACACCCATTCAACGCCAGGCGATACCTATTGGCCTGCAGAATCGGGATATTATTGGCGTTGCCGAAACCGGTTCCGGCAAAACTTTAGCTTTCCTTATCCCCTTGCTTTCGTGGATTCAATCGTTGCCGAAAATTGAGCGCTTGGAGGATGTGGATCAGGGTCCGTATGCGATTATTATGGCACCCACACGTGAGCTTGCCCAGCAAATCGAGGAGGAAACGATTAAATTTGGTCAACCACTGGGCATACGGACTGTTGTCGTCGTCGGCGGTTTGTCCCGAGAGGAGCAAGGTTTCCGATTGCGTTTGGGTTGTGAGATTGTCATTGCCACACCGGGTCGTCTCATTGATGTGCTGGAGAACCGGTATCTGGTGCTGAATCAGTGCACCTACATCGTCCTCGATGAGGCAGATCGTATGATTGACATGGGTTTCGAGCCGGATGTGCAAAAGATCCTTGAGTATATGCCCGTGACAAATCTCAAACCGGACACGGAGGAGGCCGAGGATGAGAAGAAGCTGATGGAGAACTTCTACACCAAGAAGAAGTACAGGCAAACGGTGATGTTTACGGCTACGATGCCACCGGCTGTGGAGCGTCTGGCGCGCACCTATCTGCGTCGTCCGGCTACCGTCTACATCGGATCTGTGGGCAAACCCACGGAGCGCACCAACCAAATCGTGTACATGATGGGCGAGAACGACAAACGCAAGAAACTCATGCAGATCCTATCGGCGGGCATTGAGCCGCCCGTGATTATCTTTGTCAACCAGAAGAAGGGTGCCGATGTCCTGGCCAAGGGTCTGGAGAAGCTCGGCTACAATTCGTGCACATTGCACGGTGGCAAGGGACAGGAACAGCGTGAATATGCGCTCGCCGCACTCAAATCGGGTGCCAAGGATATATTGGTGGCCACCGATGTCGCTGGTCGTGGCATAGACATCAAGGATGTCTCGCTGGTCATCAACTATGACATGGCCAAGTCCATTGAGGATTATACGCATCGTATTGGTCGTACGGGTCGTGCCGGCAAAACGGGTGTCGCCATCTCCTTTGTGACCAAGGACGACAGCGGCCTCTTCTACGATCTAAAACAGTGCGTCACAGCCAGCCCGGTGTCCACCTGCCCGCCAGAGCTCACCAATCATCCGGAGGCGCAACACAAACCGGGCACAGTGGTCACCAAAAAGCGACGAGAGGAGAAAATATTTGCTTAGACCCAAAATTTCGTAGTCCTTTCGGCAATAATAAAATACAAACAATTTTCGATAAAATATTCCAGATATAAGTATGTTTTTCCAACTTTCTGCCAAACTACTTCTTGGGGAGAAATATGATCAGAGTATCTTAAGAACCTATCTGAACTAAGTTCTCAGTGAAGATGTCTTTATGAAAGTTGAAGAACCAATCGAGATTCAAATTAAAGAAAACTTAAATTACAGAATCAAAATACGTCCTGCAAGAATATTCAGTTATCAGTACATTTGTCTTTTAATTCTAATTTTTATTAGCAACTCATTTCGGCTGTAATTCGATTAACATTTCGCAGATTCCTCATCGCAATAGGCGTAAAAAGAATGCATTGCGACTCTGCTTGGAGTCAAGCGGTAAATATTTGTCATAGAAATCAAGGATGACCTCCTCAATTTTAAAGCCAAATTTTTGATAGAGCATCACCGCCGAATTGCTAGCGGACACATGCAGCGTTATATCCTTAGACATGCAGGTCTGGATGAGATGATAGAGCATAAAGCTAGCAATGCCGGAACGTTGCCAATTGTGACGCACCGCCATGAAGGAGATGTATGCCTCATTGTAGCCCACATCGGGCACGAGGAAGCCACAGCCAACAACGAGCTTCTTATAAAGCGCCACAACACTATAATCCGGATAGCTGAGACAGTCGCTCACTGAAAGAAAAAAAGTAGCTTAAGCATAATATTAAAGATGGAATTATATGTTGGCTAACTCACCATCAATGCCGGGCCAGAAAACGCTTTGGAGCAGCGCATTCACTGCCGGTATATGCTGTGGACGCACATAGCAGAAGTCTATCGTGGATCGGCTGGGGTGGCAACGATTCACCCGATGCTGCAGCTCGCACATCAAGCGTACAAGTTGGCGACATATTCTGGCTGCGATAGATGAACGGATGCAGGACGCGTTGTGTGTACGGCGACTCGAAGAGTTCGTATTCCGTGCTGCCCACAATGCGAGCATAAAATGAATTGCGATTGTCCGGATTACCCAACTCTAACAGCTGATAGCGATCGAGTATCTGGGTCTGTTGCTGCTTTGATAGCTGGAGACGTGCACGCGCCGTGTGATCAATATGCTCGTCCAGATTAAATATGCGGCGATTGTGATCCCGCTTCCATTTGCGCAGGCACAGCTTGCGATAGAATCGCCTCACATGGCCGGGTATATTGCTCGCGCCGTGTTGAAAGATCTTGTGAAGCTGCTGATGCAACTTTTGCTCCTCATAGACGCTCATTGGTCGAAGATGTTGCTCCTGTGGCTCTTGCTCGTCGGTCTCCTGCAGCCAGGGCCAATTGCGTCGGGGCTGGCGAAGAAATCCACTCGGCTTGCAGCGCTCTAAACTTATGCTGCTACTCTCTGCCTGCTCCATCTCTGTGAGTTCATTTTCCTTAGCTGTCTCCGGTGGCTCTTCTTTACTTTGTGGTGTTTGCTGCTCCTGCACTTGAAAGTTGGTAACCTGCACAATGCGCGGCTGATAGTCGGGATTCTCCTCCGTCTGTGGCTCTGTTTCCATGGGCTGTTCCTTTTCGCTTTCGGACATTGGTTGCTCTACTTTTGGGCTAGGTGGAGTTTCTTCCATTTTTTTCTCATTCATCGCTGGCGGCTCGCTGTCAAAGTTATGCTCCAGCTCGAACAGGCTGGCACTGTTTCCGGGCGCTTCCAACAGTGCCTCGGACATAAAGAAATCTGTTTTGCCTGCTCCAATTAGGGGCGGTGGCATAAACATGCTCAGGTCATCGCCTCCCAAGCTTTCCGCTAAAAAATCCATTAGACTCGCCTGCACGCTGCTCAACGGCTGCTGCTGTGAGGCCTCTTCCGTTGCCTCCTCCTGCTTTACATGCTCTTGCTCCTGCTCATCCCCCTCCTCCTGCTCTTGCTGTTGTGTAGCTCCGCTGGCTGCTCAACTGCTGGCGGCGGGCGACCCATGTAGGGACTGTGAATTATATTTTGCTTTATACATGTTGTAAATTATCACATTAAAATCTGATTCGCTTACATGGCTCGCGCACAGCCTTCGCTGACTGGCAGAAGGCGCTCCACAGCTTCCTCCGTCGTGGCTGTCGCCTGTGCATCGCTCAGATGATCTGTGACTGATAAATCGCTGTCACAGCTGTTCTCGTCCACCACCGGCAAGCGTCGATCTGTGCGCAACAGTTGGCGCTCCAGCAAACGTTGCTCGTCTGCAAGGGATTTAAATTATATACTTTACTCTTTGTCTCTTTTTATACGATTACTCACACTCAGCACGTACGCTGCGCGGCGTTAAATGGGGTTTGGCCAGTTTCCACCAGCCAGTCTCGGTGCATACACTGACCCCAGACTGAAAGTATTCCGGGCTGTTGTGCGAAAGTGCGCCCGAAACGGAACCAGCCCATTGCTTGCGACGGCGACTGAAACGAAATTTGCATTTCTATTATTCCTGCTACTTGGGTTAATCTCAGCTGCAACTCACGCTCGCGGCTCGAATATGTAGTTCCAGTTCTTGTTCACGAAACTGATGATGTGCGTCCGCCAATGGAAATAGCCATGATGACTTAGCCCCTTCGACTTGATGGACAAATTGTATAGGGTCAGCGTCAGCACCAGCAGCCAGGGTATGCGCTGGCGAACAAGCCGCTCCTTGGGCGGCTCCACTCCGGATTGTGGCTCTTTGCGCACACATTTGATGCACGTAAAATCGAAGAAAACGTCGCCGAGTAAATCGCCTGGGGTGCTCGCATGTGGCAAGCATTTGATGTGCACAATCTGCTCACAAATGCGGCAATCCAGATAGTTGTCATCCTCGACGGTTGTGTGGCAATAGTCGCATGTGGTTGCTTGTTTCCCAAGCGCATTGCCACGCATTTCGAACTATTAAAAACAAGCAAAACTTGTTGTTGACAAGAACAATCTGTTGTTCCGCCGCTTGCCTTGAAATGGTACGCGGTGTTGCCACATCGCTAAAAATACCAAGATTGCTGCTTATGGCAACGCCTGGTGCTTAGTACGCAGCTCATTTTGCGTTGTTGTGTGCAAAATTGCGTATTTGAGGCATTTTGTGTTATGAAGTCGTTTAATAAGGTCTATCAATGTTAAATAAATAGAATAATAAGATTGGTTAGCGTTGAAGTGTTTCCTTTTTGGCTCGAATTTCATGCTAAAATTACACCATTTATGTAGGGACGGATCAAGACTTTGATCATAACTTTGTCGAAAGTGATCAGATTTAAGCAAAAACCAGGTCCTCTTGATTATGGTTTGATCTATAGAATAATACTACATTTACATTTTATAGCGCTATTCTGGCTCGCTTTTAATGTTCAACTTACAACATTAAAAAAATGATAGTAAAGAAGTTTGTCAAAAGCAATTCGATTTTCAAAAACCAGTACTTTTCAATCGTGGGTTGACCTCTGTATTTATACTATATTTAAAGCTTAAGACCTCTAGACGATTACTACATTTACAGTTGAAAACACGACTTTCACTCAAAGTTCATGTATAAAATCTATCCCAAAAATTTTTCACATTGCCACAAGCAAGTCGAAGCTGAATCGCATTTGAAATTCAATGCATTTTTGATCCACTGGAAATCCAATTAAATGAATCAGTCTAATAGAATCGAGTGGTAAAGCCACCAAAATATTGCTAATCAGCTGCATGCTTATGACAAGGAGTTAGCCTTGCTGGTCATTATTTTTCTTGGCACCATTGTTAATGAGTTTCCTTGCAACTTGCAACGAGTCAATCAGAGGCAGCCGCACAAGAGGCGACGAAAATGAACTGCAGCGTAATGCGTTTTGCATCTGACATCCGATTTTGATTGACAGCCATTCAGCCACCCACCACACTGAATAGTGTGAATACTCAAACTGCGTATATGTGAGTACCCATACCCATTCACATACTCATGCTGCTGTCTGCTGCAGGCGGTGTAACGCAAATGTCATTAATGGCTCTTTACGAGGTTCACGCATAATTAAGGTCGTCAACTGTGTCGGGCTTACGGCCTGGTCAATGTTGTCTTAAGCGGCTCTAATTAGGCATTTGTTGCTGTTGGCCAGTTTGCTCAAGTGGATGATTGGTTTAACTGTGGCAGAGTGTCGCTTAGTCTCTGCCCCAAAAAGCATGCATTACAAAATTGAATTTCTACTTTTGCGACTATTTATTTGAGTCCGGTTTTTTCTGTTGTTTTTCATTCTCTGCAACTGTTGCTATTTGCTTTTCTTCTTTTTGTTGTTGTTGCATTTTTCAGTCAACTGCTTTCAGCACTTTTTCATTTTCATTCGGCTATTGTGCCTGGTTATGCCTTTTGGCACTGCGAAAGAGACACAAGAACAGCAACAAAAGAATTGGGAATACAAATGGCCCTATGGCGGACATGCTCGACAGCTAAATATCCTGCTAAAAATATGCTCATATGTATGGTAAAGTAGATATATAGTATAGTAGATATAGCTGAAGGTCTAAGATTCTAAAAATTCAAAAAACTTTCATAACTATTTTATATTGGAACTGAATTTCGAGCCTGAGGTCATTTTGAAGATTGGGTTTTCATTAGATTACTTAAATAATTACTTATCTGACAATGCTTTGTGATCAAAATCAAATACATGTCTTTACCAATATAAAATGGTGTTGGCACATCTGAAAATGCTTTTTACATTTTTGATGGGCACTCTAATATACCCCATTTGCATAAGTAAATATTGTAAAGCGCATAAAAAATGGCGAACCAAATTTCATTTTTGTCGCTTGGAGCTCCTGATGCGGCAGACAAAGCGAAAACGGGGGCAATTTCACAAGTTGTCGCCACTGCCATTGCATGCGGAGTTCCTCAAAATGGAGGTAAAAAACCAGAAGGGAATCCTTTTTATAGAGTGTAGTAGATCCAGAACTACTGGCCACAAGTGACCCCTCGCCACCCGCTCAAATTCAAACGCACAAATTATGCTTGAGTAAGGAGTAAGGAGTAAAGGGGGTTTCCTGGCGATTTAATGGCCCAGTCGAATCGAGTTGTGGAGTGGGAAGGGGGGGTGGGGTGGGGGTGGGGTATGCCACACAGCTGCACAAAGGCAAACAAACGGGCGTCTGGCTGTCACTTAATCGAAGCCATTAGCGTTATTAGTGATGCAGCCAACTTCCTACTCCTGATCCTATTCCCTCACAGCCGACTTAGAGTTGACAGCGTATCGTGCTTGCTCTCGTGACACGATTTAAATATGCAATAAATTAGTAAGAAATAATCAATTAAATCTTCTCATTTATTAATTTAATAATTTTAATACTTGTACATTCAAAGCGATTTTTATTTGATAAATAAATAAATCTGTAAAATAATACGAAAGAAATAATAATAAATTGCAAGTAGGCGCTCTCATCTCTAATCTGCACTTGCTCATGCTTCGCCTATTCCCAGGCCTGACTTGCGGCCAGGTAGAGAGCAAACAGCGTCTGTATGCTATGGATGTAATCCGATTGTGTCTCCATCGGGCCATCGACTCCAAAGTGTTCGCAAAGCACGCGCACATAATCGGCCAGTGAGATTTGCTGCTGGAGGCAGGAGCGATAGGCCTCATCCAGGGCATTCTTTGTTGTGGCCATTGCAAACGAACGTGGCCAATCCTCCACCAGGGCATCGATATCTTTGCGTGGCTGCGAATCGAACATGGATTGCGTCATATGCACCTGTTCCACCTCACCAATCCACTTCTCAATGTCCTTAGCTGACTTTGCGGTGGGCACCAGCGTTGCCGAGTAGGAGGCATTCCGGGGATTCCCACCCCGATTGCCGCTGAGCACGGAGCGCAGTTTCATATTCAGTAGACTGGGTTCGCTTTGTGCACCCGACGGCTCATCCAGAAGCATTAAGCCCAAACGCTGCAGCTGTTCGTCCAGCTCCCGCTGTCGCTGTGGTTGCAACAGCGCTGGCGGCTGCACTTTCAGCATGGCATCCACATCGCCAACGGCTGGCACATATTCGGGTATGAACGGTTGCAGATGATATGGTGTTTCTATGCCCTGTGGCGTATACTTGAGTATGTAGGGAAAGATCTCCTTGAGTTCCGCCTGCAACGGCAGCTGTTCCCATTTATCTGGCGTCAGATTGAACGAGGACGTCTCCTGTGCCCGGCCAGCGCTGCCTCGCTGCTGCGTTGGCAGCGGCAACTTTTGATGCGCCAACTTGCCGCTTGGCATCTGCTCGCCGGCTGCCTCATCAGAACTGCCAAAGCTCAGTTGGTCATCATCGTGAGGCCTCACTGTTGGACCCGTCGCATTCCGTGTGCTACCCGGGCGCGTTTGTGGTCGTGGCACCGTCGCAGAAACACCAGCGGCGGAGCCAGTGGCACCACCCAGCTGCAGCTCACTATCATCATCATCGTCGTCGCTGTCATCGGCCTCATCATCATGGTCTATGATGTCCTGCAGCAGACCATCATCATCGGCGGAGCTGCCCTGAAGTTGCTGTGTGAATTTAATGGAAAATATATTTGTGTTTAATTATTATTAACATTTTTTAAGTGTTAAGTTTTGGGCTGTAGACTTTTATGTTTCTGTCTCCTTTGTTGGGTTTTCTTTTAAGAACTTTGGAAAATTAAAATTGTCTAAGCTGTTATTGTGAAAGTCCCTGTTTATGTATCTATAATATCCATTTTCGTGAGACAAGTAATTTTGAGAACATTCATCGCACACATCTTTAGCTACATATTTAGCACGATTCACGAATATCCTAACTATTTGCATTATATTTGATAATAATTCTGTTTATCACCTATCATAATTTATCAAGCATACCAATTATTCGTGCTCTATTTGGTGACACAAACAAGCACAGCTTATTTTTTCGCTTCTCTTCTCATTTATATTTATCGTCTCACTTCCATCTCCATCTATCACTCTCTCTTTCTCTGTCCGGTGTAGTTACCATATTACGTTGCCTGGCTGCTGCCCGCTCCCGTCCGCCCGGTGTCCGGCTATTGGCACGGGCCTCACCTCGGCTGGACAATCGCTCCATTTGAACGCTGCTCAGATGATGTTTGCCATCCGGTGGTCCACTGATTTGGATCTCCTCATCGTAGTAATTCATCGTTGTAACTCAAGTGTTGACACGTGGGCGTGGCACCTTGCGCCACTCGTTGTTGCTGTTGTTGTTGGTTTCTTTTATAATGATTTTTTTGAGCAGCTCGCACGCTGCGAATTTCTATTTTTGCGCACTTCCGCTCAGGTTACCGTCCTTGAATCCTTGAGATACACTTGCTGGCTGCTGGCAAGCGTCCTGCAGGTGGCTGGCTGTCTTTTCTTGTCTGTGGAATCCGTGTCTGTGTTTCCTTTCTGCGCGTATTGCTTTTACCTGCAAGAAAGGGAGAAAACTGTCAATTGTTTTGGCCTCGTTGGTTGTCTTGGCAACAACGTTGGCTGCTTGTTTGTGTTGTTCTTGTTGCTGTTGCTGTAGCTGTTTTGTTTTTGGCCCGGCTTACTTATCCGTTTTTCTGGCGAATTGAGCGGTTGTTTGGTTTTAATTACATCTGATTTTCCATACCCTTTCCATCCAGCCAAGCTTCACTTGTTTTCCATTTATGCAACACTCACTGTACATTGTCTGCTACTTTGAATATTCGGAATTGAGTTTAGAGAGTGAAATCATTGAAATGAAATGAAATCGGCTACCGTCTGTGGGCCAATTTGGTTTAAGGCCTTTGGGCGAGTCGATTTTATGGCGTGTTTTTATTAATGAACCATTTTTCAGGCCTCTAAATGAGTTTTTATGGATGAGCAATTTGCGTTGAAGATTTTGTGCAGCGAAAGGGATAATTGCAGCTGGCGCCTATTTTAGCTGCTCCTAATAGGTTAATGTCCACATCGATTGTAATTAGGTAGAAAGAACCGAGTTTTGTTTCAAACAAAACTTGGCCAAAGTTATGCATTATTCACTCGAAATATTATAAAAATTAGAGTACAGAACGATTTTAATACTAATTAAAGAATTTTACACGAAAAGCTTGCTAATTTCATAATTGTTTCATTTATCCGACTGTTTACTTGATCCAAATTATTGTTAAACTTTTCAGTACAAGATTTATTGGCAAATTTTAAAAACTGCAAGTTTTAGTTAAGAAGTAACTTTACCTGTTAGATACTGGCTAAATCGATGGATATTTTAGCAGCTAACTCTTTAAGGTGTATGTATAATATATATAGTAATTTACTAGTACTTTACTTAAGCAGTTATTCTTTATTTAACTTCTAATCTTTATTGTAGCTAAGCAAACGCCGCCACTGCTTTGCAACCTACGCTCGAGCACGTTGCGGTTCGATGCTTTGGTTCGATGTGTTTGAACGCGACAAGCAGAATATGAAAACACAACAAATTTCATTCGGTATTGGCATCTTGTGCTGAGCATTTCGTTGCGGATGTTACGTGTGTGTTTGTTGCTTCAAAGCAAAATCCAAAAAAAAGCAGTCCGCTTGAGTTTCGTCTTTCGGTGTTTTCAATAACGCGATCGCAGCAATAACAACAACAGCAACAACAAAAGTATCTAATTAAAAACAAACTGTGTGTGATTGAATCAGAATTACGTGCAGCTCCAACAAGTCATAACAAACACACCCAGTGCACCGGAGAGAGAAATAGTTCAGAGAGTTTTGCAAATTAAAAGGCAAATTTATTTAAATTGACGCTAATTAAGCTGGTCGATTGCTTTAACCACGCGGTTAATAATTTTTTTATTTGCATTAAATCTTGTGCAACTCCACAAATATTTTGTATAATACACTGAAGTTAATTAATATCATTCCATCTCCCGCACTCCACTAGACTTCATTAATAGCTGTGAAGCTGGTTAAACTGTGTTTTGCGTGTGCCAATATCTGTGTGTGTGTGTGTGTGTGTGTGTGTGTGTGTGTGTATTTTGGCCAGAATATTTATTATCAGACGCTAAAAGGATTACGAACCCGTTCATCTTCATCAGCATCCTCAAACCGAGCCAAATATTTGCGAACGGTAAGTTGAAACTGTACACTGAAAAAAAATTAAACAAGCTGCTTAATGCAATCAAAAATAAATTAAAAAGAAATTAATAAAGAGCAGCAACAAACTTATATTAACTAGTATTTAATAATTGTTTTGTTATCTTAAGTATTATGCCTTCCACTTCCAAGCTTAATCTGAAATCATACTTCCAATCGTAAGAAAAACATCGCTGTAGTTGTGTAAAAAGTACGTCATCGACCTCATACATTTTTTTCAGTGTGCTTCTCTCTTAAGTTCCCCTCGCTTGTCTCGCCTTACGTGTTTGACTTTCACGCCTACCTTACGAATATAATCCCCCCGTCATACTGCCCACCCCTACAACGTCCCTATAACAAAATGTTTTATATGTTTCGCGACCATTTAAAAAGGGTTAACCCCTGTAGCTACACCCTTACCACTACTCCTACCCCCCAACACAGAAGTAGCCGGTGTCAAAAAAAGAGTGTTCAGGCCGTATTGTTAGCTTAAACTGTGCTTTGTGGGCCCCCAAAAGCGTATCCTTAAAACTTGCGCAATAAAATGAAATTGTTTTGAATTATTGAGATCCGAAACTTGGAAGCCCTTTTTTTACGCTCTTATTCTCTTTTTAATATAATTTATATTTGGCGCTGGCAATGCTCATTGTTTGGGGTCGACGCACATATGGAGAGTTTCCACTGAACCCCCAAATAGGTGTCTGGGGCATTAACAGTTAACATGTTGCGGTTTTTGATTGCTGCAAACTCTTTTCATTTTTTTTCTTTTCTTTTTTATCAGAGCAAAAAAGGGACTGCTGCAAATTCGTTGGCAACTTTATTGTCAGAGCTTATCAATTGAGAGTGTGCACATATACTTTTCGACTCAGATATACATTTATATATATGTATATAGTTTGGGTTCAGTCACTTCGAGTTTGATAACAGTTTTTATGGCTTTGGGTTTGGCATGCACTTAAATGCAAATACACTGAAACTGGGGTCAGTGCACTTAAAAAAATAACAGGCTCGACTTGATTAGCACTTGGTTGGGATAAATTCTTTTATTATGTAGTATAAGCATGTATGTGGTTGATTTGTATGATGTCTGCGACAAATAGAAAAGATTACAAATTGTCATATTACCATAAAAAGAAATTCAAATATGAATCTCAGCTTATAGAATCGGATATCAATTCATTATAACATCGTAAAAACGATGCCAAAGATAGTCTTTACAAGCGCCAAAAATGTATTATTTATTTCATTATTTTAATTTCTTCCTAACTAGTTCTTGGCTTTATTTGGAATTCGCTAGATTTACATAATTTAGTTATCACTCATAGTTTTTTTTTTTATAGAATCAACACATAATCAAAATTAATTTGGAAAGCTAATGAAATTTATTTGGCAATCTTAAACATTTTAATGATATGTAAAAGAACCTCAAACTTTTATTGAGAAATACCAGTTATAATACTTATGGTCTCTTATAAGAACTTAATATTAAAAAATACAACAACAATTAATAATTTGTCATTTTTATTAATGAATTTTTGTAATTATCATCACTATAATTAATGTTAAAAATAACTTGACCGTTTTATGTTATGCTTATGACTTTTATAACTTCTCAATATAGAATTTATGTCGTATGGGGAATTCCAAGTTCTTGAGTCGCTTTCTTTTGCTAGTGAAGTGAAAAATTATTAACATAATATCGCAAATATATATGAACATTTTGATATATTATATTCTGGAATAATAATCGTATGTACAACATCTTTGGAATTAATTAAGTTATTCACATAGCGATATCTATACTATACCATAAATGGAAATTGTTCTAGACACTCAAAATAATTATGGCTATTTATCAAGCGAACCTTACCCACAATCACAAATGCCAAATAGATTGAGCAATCCATGCGATATGTATTTACCTTTGATATTGATAGCTGCGTATCAGTTTAATTACAGAATAAATTCAATTTACTGGGGTTATTCACACTCACATTTGGCATTCATTTCAAATGCTGGCCACTCGCTTTGCCACATTTGATGAGCAGCTAATTAATTTCCATTCAAGTTCATACTTACTACGATACATATCTGTAGAGAAAGAGACGAGAAGAGGTTGGTAGAGGGAGACAAAGTGTAGGGGGAAGCAGAGGGGCAGCTTGGTTTCTTCAAAATGACCAATATAAATGTCATTGCTTGTGGACGCTTTTATTTGTATTTGCGGTCTGTTTTATTGTAATCTTTTATGGTGCAATGTCCAAATGTTTTGCTCTAATTCTCATAACTTGGGCGACCTATATACAGACATATATATATACATATATATACAGTAAGATTCTGTGGTTGTTGAGAGGAAAGGGAAGGCGATTTAGCGCCTGAAAGCGAGCAGCACTTGCTGTTTACTTTTCCTTTTTCTATTGTCTGTTCTTATCGCAGTCGTTCGCTTTTGCCTACCATTTTTTATTGACCTTTGTCGAGGGTATTGCCACTTTTACATGAAATGTGTAACGTCATTGAAGAGGACATTGAATTATTATTATTATTAATTATCATGTTTAGCATAATTAGTTAAAGCTGTAGCTGCAGCACATAAAGAAACTACACATTAGTTCCAGCTAAATGAAGTATTGATAGTTGTCAGCTTCAGTAATAATAATAATAATATTTAAAAAATAGATAAATATTTTAAATGAACTGTTATATCACATAATCACTAACAAATGTGGAAAGAGTATTCAGTCTGCGGCATATCGAACTTAACTATTCTTTCTGGCTATGTTTGTTCGGCTTTTGTCTCTGTTTTGCTGGTCGAAGTTTTGCTTGGTTTGGGCGTGTGTAGGCTTAAGTAAGCTAGATGCTGGATGTTGACTGCTCGGTGTCCTGGTGCCTGGTGCCTGTTGGCTGTTAGCTGTTAGCTGGTGCCTGCATGGATAATCATCAGCATGCGCGGACATGTTCTCAAGTTCGTCGTTGTCGTTTCAAGTTCAGCGAAAGTGAAACGTGTCGGGTTTTTGGTTTGGGTTTTTTGGTTTTGCTTCGATAGTGTTGAGGCTTTAGGGCAACTTGGTGGTATCGGCTCGGGTGTGGGACTTGGCTATAAAAATAAAAATTGTTTGTGCCGAGTGGAAAGTTCGTTTGGCAATTTGATTTGAGTTGCAGTCACAGTCACGCTAGGCTGAACACACACTCGCACACACATACACACACGCACAACAAGAACAGCAAACAAAAACGACAAAAGTTTTCCAGACCCGTCACAACACATAAAGCGATAAGATGCCGAGCAGTAGGCTCGAATTATGTTTGACATTTTCAGCCAGATTGGTTTTTATTTAAATTAGTTTCAAATACATGTTGTAGGCCTAGAATACAAGCCCCTCCTTCTCCTATTACCCCGCCTCAGCCCCAACCCCTTGTGTGCTCGCTGAAGTGTTAAAACAAGTTTATGCAGAAAAACAGAAAGAAAAAAAACAAATTGATTTTCAGTTTTTTTTCTGCTGAGATTTGCAAAACAAAAAAGTTTGCATGTAGAAAAAAGGGTATATAAAGTATTTTTAGATGAACTGTGACTTCATATTAGGTTATTAAATTTCACTTTAGATCTGGCCGATTAAGCAATAACATTTTTTGTATGGCTGCCAAACTTATGAGCCAATTTAAAGTGTATCTATTCATATAGAAATTGTAATTTATGAAGTAGTTTTTGATTCAGCACGCCCCACAATCTATCCAATTAATATTATAAATACATTTGCAACTATTCTTCAAAAACACTATAGAGCATTACTTGGTCGTTTATTCCGCTATATATAATTCCATTTATTATTCTTGGTTTAATGCTGTGTCAGCTGTTGTATGTTGTCCATGTGTTTGATAGAGTTCCTTGAAAGTTTCGTCAGCTATATGATATCCCGTCAAGCGTCTTTGTTTGCCTTAAACAAATAATCAAGATCAACTTCAGTTCGCCGACTTTGAGACTCGAATTTCAGTGTCACCTATCGATGACAAATTGCAAATAATCGCTTGTTCGGATATGAAAATATCAGTTCTCAATGTTTCGTTGTTATGATTATGATTTTTTTTCATGCGAAACGAGTTTTTATTTTTTTTTATAAGTACTTAGGCTAGCAAAAAAAAATATATATAAATAATATATATGTTGTTATTTTTCATATTACGCCATGCGTTCTCGCTAAGTAAAATGCAAATAGTGTTTTAGCAAGAATTCAAAATTGTGTAAATAAGTTATATATATTTATTATTTGCTCTATTGTTACAAGTAAATTAGAAAAAGAAACTATATTACTAAATGAGCCAACCTAAAGCTATGCCTAGTTAGTCTAGTCAGTTAAACTCCTAACTTGAGCAAATATTTAACCTTTCCAACAACTGTCGCTTATGGCAGAAAGAAAAAACAACTTTTCCCATAGCGGAAGATGCCACACCTAACAACAACAAACAAACTCCCATCACAGAGAAAACCTGCTAACAAAAACACTCATCAGTGATCTGTCGCATTGAGGGGGAAAAAATGTTGTATCATTTATCAAAATTTACATGGAAAGGCAGGCGAGGCGAGAAAACCTAAAATGAAATGTTATGCATATGACAAGAGCTGCCAGTGAAGCTATCAAATGCAGAGACAGACAGAGACAGAGAGAGAGAGAGAGAGAGAGAGAGAGGGAAATAGGTTGGGGTTCGTTGAGCGCGTTGTCAATGAGATTGATTGTTCCGCAAGCGTTGAAAGGAAACAAATACTTTATCGGCCAAGTGGCGCCTCGAACGAGACACAGTCTCAGTCTCAGGTGTTGACCAAACAAATGTCCATTAATGTTAAATTAAGAGGCCCATAATCTTTTGCCTACACTGAGCCGATTTGTTTCGAGGTGTCGGAAACACATACGAAGATAATATTGTATTTTCAGCTTGGTCATCTCATAATTAAGCTGTCTTTCACTTCATTTGCAACTTAATGGTTTTTTAATAGAAGCTAGA